AGTGGTGGCGCAGAGGTTAGAGAAGTGCGCCTGTGATTGGAAGATCGATGGTTCAACTCCCGGTACCGACAACATGGCTGAAGAAAAGCCTGAAGAAAAAAAATATATAAAGAGCTTGAAAATGAAGCAACACATCCAGGCTGAAGCATTTTTGTTTTACCTATTGTGTCCTAACGTTTGTGTTTTTCATGTGTAATGTTTGTGACCTCAGGAGAGCGACATGCCAGACGAGGTGAACATCGACAGTTTGATTGAGCTGCCAAGTGATGACAAGCGAGTCCAAAAATTAAAGGTAGCAAAACACATCAATGATTTGCTTCATGTAATGTTTTTTAACACCAAAAAGTTTATGTTGCTGACTAATGCAAAAACAGGATTACCATGAGTATTACTAATTAGTCACGTTGACAGAACATTTCTAATACATTTATGTTGGACAATTCTATAAAAAGCATTTCTTCCTTTTGTAACAGGAGCTCCTTTATCGGTGTAATAACAGCACAGAGGTATGTTTTATCCAGTTTTACATTTCCACATTTTGAATAATTTAATTTCACAGAAGAAGCACCTGTCATATAGCGGGTTGCAAAAGTAAACGCCCATTTTAATATATTTTTTCTGTTTTGTCGCCTTAAATCCTAGAATTTAAATGGAATTTTAGTTTCATTATGGAGAATAATTATACAAAACATACTTCAGATTAATTAAGTTAAATGGGGGAGAAAAAAAAACTTGTTTTAAACCTATTATTAGTAAAGCCAGATAACCTGGCAAGAGAGAGAACGCCAAGCAGGACTCACAGAGTGGGTAAAGAGGACGCGATTCAGAGAAACATCCAGGAGGCCACAGATAAGAGGATCTGTCCACAGGACCATGAGCAGCTGCACAAAGCTGGGCCCACGGAGGAGTGGCAGGAAAAAGACATTAGCTATAGGAAATACTTTTATCCTAAAAATGATGGAAGAAGGTTGTATGGTCAGAAGACTCCAAAACTGCACCTTTCATTCAAAGACACATCCAACAGGGCTCATAATGCTGAGAACACCATCCCTGCAGTGACACGTGGTGGCAGTATCATGCTGTGGTGATATTTATCATTAGCTGGACTGAGAATACGGATGATACAGGTGGTGGGATGCATCACAAACAATGATGAGTCCAGCTACAGGCAGGAGGTGGAACACCTGGAGAGCTGGTACAGGAAGAACAACCTTCACATCAATATGAAGAATTCCTAGGAGATGGTTGTGGAATTCAGTTGGAGCAAACTCCCCTACACCCCCCTGAATGTAGGAGGATCTGCAGTGGAAGTGGTCTCCAGCTACAAGTACTTGGGTGTACACCTGAACAACCTCAGCTGGAGCAACAACACCACCAGCCTGATGAAGAAAGCTCATCAGAGACTCTACTTCCTCAGACGGCTGAGACGAGCTGGTCTGGAAGCTCAGTCCTCACCTCCTTCTACAGGTGTGCAGTGGAGAGCATCCTGTGCTCCAGCATCAACGTGTGGCATGGAGGCTGCACAGCTGCAGAAAGAAAAGCTTTGCAGAGAGTGGTGAAGGCTGCACAGAAGATGTTGGAGTCAGCCTCCCCACCATCACAGACATCTACACCTCCAGATGCAGGAAGAGGGCCACCTGCATCATGAAGGACCCCACTCACCCAGCACACACACTTTTTGCCCCACTCCCCTCAGGAAGGAGGTTAAGGAGCATTAAGTGTAGAACCACTAGACTGAGGAACAGCTTCTACCCTGAGGCTGTTAGACTCATGAATCTCTAACCAGAATAATCACTGTGAAAAATCACATCATGTTGCTGCTGATCTGTTTCATGTTGCTGCTGATCTGTTTCATGTTGCTGCTGATCTGTTTCATGTTGCTGCTGATCTGTTTCATGTTGCTGCTGATCGGTTTCATGTTGCTGCTGATCGGTTTCATGTTGCTGCTGATCGGTTTCATGTTGCTGCTGATCGGTTTCATGTTGCTGCTGATCTGTTTCATGTTGCTGCTGAACTGTTTCATGTTGCTGTGTTCATGCGTGCTGATCTGCTCACACAGACTCATGTTCATGCTGCTCTTCGGCATATTGTTTTTATGCTATTAGTGCTTAGTGTATCTTTAGTTGATGCTTTTCTTAGTTCATATCTTAGATCTTATTACTCTTTTTCTTCTACATTTTATTATTGGATGTGAATGGGACCACGGTACATAATTTTGTTCCACCACATGTACCACATGTGGTGTGTATGACAAAGAAACTGACTCTGACTACACTTCAGTATATTTTAAAGAGAAAATATAATTATAGGCCAAACTTTTCTTGTAAGAATACATTGTATTTATTTATCCATCCATTATCTTCCGCTTGTTCCTGAGTCAGGTTGCGGGGTCAGCAGCTTGAGCAGGGAGGTTCAGACCTCTCTCTCCACAGCCATCTCTTCCAGCTCTTCTGGGAGGACCCCAAGGTGTTCCCAGACCAACTGAGAGACATAGTCTCTCCAGCGTGTCATGGGTCTTCCCCGAGGTCTCTTCCAGACGGACATGCCCGAAGCACCTACCTAGGGAGGCGCCCAGGGGGCATCCTTACCAGATGCCCGAACCACCTCAACTGACTTCTCTCGAATTTTATTTATTTATTTTAACTTAATTTATACAGATAGTCTCACTGAGTCACGAGGACTCGTTTTCAAGAGACCTGTTTTAGACAGATAACATTTAGAGTACAGAAAACAATATGCAGCAACAAAGCTGTAATCCAGCTGTTTTTGTAACTTTTTTTGGGCCATCTTATTTGTAAAAAAATAATAATCTGTTTGCCTTTTTATAATTGTCTATTGTTGTAGTTGTTGTCTGCTGTTGTCATCTTTCTTTGTTGAAATCAGGTCTCTCTTGTAAATGAGTCCTCGAGGCTCAATGGGATTTACCTGTAGAAATAAAGGTTGAATGAAAAAAAGCAATTAAAATAAAAGCAGTGCTATAAAAACACTGTTACAGTTAGCGAAATGAATGGTGATTTCCAAATCAGAACGATTTAAAAAAGGCTTAACTTTGGATCAGAGACATAACTGAGAAAAGCAGGCCACAAATACAAATACAAAACAGGTTGAGCAAAGTAAAGACAGCAGCAGAGTGAAAGGTGTGGTCAGTTTGTCCTCCAGCAGTCTAAGCCTATAGCAGCAGAACTAAGGGACAGCTCAGGAGACCCAAGCCGACCCTAACTAGAGGATTTAGCAAAAAGGAAAGTCTTAATCCCAGTTTTAAAACTGGATAATGTGTCAGCCTCATGGACAGAGATTGGAAGTTGGTTCCACAAGAGAGGAGCCTGAGAACTGAAAGATCTGCCTCCCATTCTGTTTTTGTAAATTCTAGGAACCACAAGTAAACCAGCAGCCTGAAAGCAAAGTGCTCTGTTAGTAAAATATGGAACAATAAGATCTGTAATATAAGATGGAGTCAGGTTGTTGAGAGCATTGTAGGTTATTTTGTAGCTGTGTATGGATATGTGTGGTAGAGCACTGTATGAATGTGTTTGTGGTGGAGTGCTGTATGAATGTGTGTGTAGTAGAGCGATGTATGAATGTGTGTATAGTAAAGCGCTGTATGAATGTGTGTAGTAGAGCG